AGATTATATCTTGGAGGGTAAGCATCAGATTTGTGTGTGAAAGGGAGTGTCGCATAGTAGTTAGATCGCTACTCTTACAACTAAGAAGACCTGAATTCAAGTTCTGATGCTGACAAAGGTTCTGCCCAAGTTGCTTAAAGTCTCAGTGCCCTAGGCAGCTTTCTAAGACAATGAATTGCTGTTATAGTGCTGACCAGCTTGGTTAGAGAGATACTTTTTTATTCAGGGAGTTCTCTAGGTCAATGAAATCATTGATTTCAATCTTTTTGTAATCCCTTTATCAGGGGTCCCTTTGACAAGAAGGCCAAATGTATTGTTTAACAATCTCACACTGAAACCTCTGCTGGGAAGCCTGGGACTGTCTCTCCTCTGGACAGCCCAGTCAGGAGGCACCAACTCCCTGACTTAAAAGTATACTGGTCACAGTGTATAGCAAGAGGCAATAAAACCAACATCTGTCAATATTCCACAGCAAATAAAAATCATAATAGTCCAAAGTTCAATGATATTCTCTAGTGAGCATTCCCTAATGGCACTTAGGGCTCCTAAGGAAAATTCAATTCAAACAGAGAAATACCATACTCTCCTCAGTCCTGAGTTGGAGTAGCTGCTCAGGCAAAACAAAAGCTAGCTGTATTACCCTCCATTGGGTATGGGTAACCCTGGGGTAGGAGTTCTTAACCTAGGGTCCATGGATTTCAGGGGAGTCCATAACTTGGACAGGAAAAAAAATACATCTTTACTTTCTCTAACCTTTGGTTTCCTTTGTAATCCTATGTGTTTTGTTTTATGCATTTAAAATATATATTTCTGAGAGAGGGACCAGAGATTTCACTAGACTGCCAAAGATATTGATGACACAGAAAAGGTGAAAAATTCTTGCCTATGGGCTACACAGTGGGGAGGGCAGTTAACTAGCCTGGTTCCTTCAATGTAGCCCCTTCAACTCTGCTTCTGTAATCACCTATCCCAGCCAAACAATAAGCATTTAATAACAGCATGAAAGCACTGTAATAAGTGCTGAAGACTGAAAGACAAAAACCACAATGTCCCCTTCTATCAGCCTCTTAATCTGGTAACAACACTTCCTGACCATACAAAACCACCCAAAGTTCAAATTAGATATTTACTTGGGGATACTGATTGTCCTTCTGTATTGCTTATAATGTGGTGCTAAATGATGAAGTCTCCTCTTCTTGAGGGTAACCTACAGGTTTAGGATTCAACCTCCACTATATAAACAAAGGATTATTTAGAATTAGGTGCATCTGCTTCTCAAGAAATAACAATGCTTTCCATCACCCCAACTCACTTCCACTCCTTCCTTTCCCTTCTTTGGACCACAACTTTTGCCCTGGGTGGTACAGGAGTCATTGCTGATCACATCTAATTTAGAGTGACTGAAACCCCACCCCAATAGGTTGTCCTTTTCCCAAGGGCCTATTTCTCACTTGTTTGGGGCTGTCACATCTAACACTGTGTCACGCATATAGCAAAGTGATAAGTTTCTATCTGATGAGTTCCTCAGATTCAGGAACTCATCAGAAATATCAAAAATATGATATATTTGTTACAAAGTGACAAATGATGACCTGCGTGAAAGAACTAATGTAAAAACATCAGTGAAGCACATAGGAAAAGAAAAAAGGAATAAACCAGAATGAGAAATAGCTGGACAGACTGAATGTTGCCCTAGGATCCATGAAGCATTGAAAGAATCAATGTCACTGGGTAGGTCATCCTCGGAGGATCTATGGGAGGACATGGACAAGAATCATGTAAACAAAAAGGTAAATATGGGCCATGATCTCTACAGGTAGAAGTGCTTATATCTCTGAGATCATATCGAGTAATCCTTTATCAAGCACTTAACTAGTCAAAGGCTGTCTTGGGTGCTAGGGATGCAAAAAAACAATAAGTGAAACAGCACCAGTTATCAAAAAAACTTTTTGATGCTGGAAACTAATGTCTACAATTTATGGATTTTGGCAGGAAGCCATAGAAATGTGTTTTAATGGCTCAGCTCTTTGTTTCTATAACATTCTCTGAGAATAGGTCAGCTAGTTAAATATTCCTATTGGAGTGCCTCTACCTTTCATTTTCACTTTTATATTCTATCTATATGCAAAAATGAGAGGAAAGTATAAAATATTTCTGTGATGATCCCTTGGAAGCCTCCTGAGATTCATGCAGACATAGCCTTTCAACTCCATTTCTATACTTCTAACTCCACCCCCCTCCCACTCCCAACTGTGGCAGAATTAGAAATAAAACAAAACAAAAACCATTGGAGAAGTATTGCTACTAGAGACCTAAATAGGGAAGGTCATGATAGGGGACATGCATTTATTAAATATTTACTATTTGATGAGGCCACACACTCAAAGGGGACTTATATCAACTAAGATTTGCTTTAAGTACTCACTAGTCTGGATTAGAAGGCAAAATGATAGAAGAAACCTTGGACCAGTCTGCCACCTTCAGGATATTTCCCCAAATAATCCAAACAGAGTGATTCTGGACTCCAAGGGTAGTGAATACTAATGTGAAACAATGACAATATAATGGATTATGGAAATTCATATTTTGGTAGCACTTTTGTTATTATTAGGAATTCACAATTATTTAACAATGTAACTGAACACTTTAAATCCAAAGTCCCAAAGGGGTAGGGGAAAGCAAATTAAAGCTATTAGGCAGGAAAAAAAACCAAAACAAAAACACCACTATTTCTCCCCTAAACATAGCTGACTACACTCCACACATAGGAGCTAATCAAATACAGATACTGGTCCAGTGGAAAAATCTGCTACTTTTAAAAATGTTGCTTGTTCCTTAATGTGTACCTTTTTTTCCTCACATCTAAAGTATTTATTCCCTTCCCTTTTTTTTTTCTTTCTTCTTTTTCAGGAAGAGAACAGCAAGTGCTGGGAGGAGAAATAGAGAGAGAGAGAGAGAGAGAGAGAGAGAGAGAAATGTAAAAAAATAAAACCTGGTGGCCTGGAAAGGAGCCTAAGAAGGAAATAGATACAATTAGGACAAGTGAAGAAAAGGTTCAGAATGACAGCCAAGCAGATCTATGTCTGGAAAGGGAACAGAGAAAAGAGTAAACTAGAGAAATAAAAGAGTGAAGGAGTAGGGGCATCAAATAGAAAATAATTTTTTAAATTTTATTTTTTAGGGTCAGCTAGGTGGTGCAGTGGATAGAAAACCGGCCCTGAAGTCAGGAGGACCTGAGTTCAAATCCGGCCTCAGACCAAACACTTGACACTTAATAGCTGTGTGACCCTGAGCAAGTCACTTAACCCCAATTGCCTGAAAAAAAATTTATTTTTTAATAAAAAATTAATTTTTCTCTCCTTTCCCAAACCCTATGGACAATAATGATGATAACATTTATATGGCACTTACTATGTGCTAAGTGTCTTACGATAATTATCTTATTTGATCCTCACAACAACCCTCCCCAAAACCAGGTGCTGTTATTATACCCATTTTACGGATAAGGAAACTGAGGCAAACAGGAATTAAGTGACTTGCCCAGGGTCAGATAGTTAGTGTCTGAGGCTGGATTTGAACTCACAAAGATGAGTCTTCCTGAAAAGAAAAAGAAAAGCCTTTATAAAAATTTATATGTATGTCAATTTTTTAGAGGTTAGTTTGGGAATGTGTTTTTCTTGACCATATAAATGTATAAAGTATACATATATGTATACATAGTTGCCATATATAAGCCTATGTCCCTATATTTATACATATATGAATACATGTGTATACACATGGCCACTGCATATATGCATATAGACCCTGCATATGTGTGTGCATGTGTATAGTGAATAAAATATGTATATGCACATAGACTATATATTACATAGACTATATATTGTATGTATACTACATGTCCTATGTATATACATATAGATACTGAATATACATTATATATTACATATACATATATATTTATGTATGGCCAAGCAAAACAAATTCCCAAATCAATCTCTAAAAATGTCTATTCAGAATGGAAAATTACATGTCAATCAATCAGTCAACAAGCCTTTATTACATGCCATTTATTAAACATTATGTGCCAGGTTTTGTCATGGGAGCTGGGATTACAAAGAAAAAGATATCAACAGTCCTGGCTTTGGAGGAACTTGAGGAGCTTACAGTGTGCTGGGGAAAAAGCATTGGATTTGGAGGAGTCAGGGATCTTGCATGAGTTCAAACCTCTGCTATGTCACTCACTCACTACCCTCTGATCTCAAGAAAGTCACGTTCTTCCTATGGGTTCTAACACTTCTTCAACACTTTTTAATAGCTGTGTCACGGAAAGAGGAAAGATATAAAAACTTCTTCTGCATATCAATCAAGAGTCATTTCTTTCTTTCTTTTTAAATTTAATTTAATTTTTAATTTATGGAATAAAACAAGAATTTCCATAACATAGTACAATAAAGATTATTGTACATGAAACTGCAAATCTACCATGTACAACTTGCTATTCCTTTCAAATATACAACAAAATTATCAACTAAATTTTTTTCTTCTCCCCTCCTCCCCCTGCCCTAGATATGGCTACCATTAGACACAAATAGGTTATATATATATATATGTAAAATTCTTCTATACATATTTCTATTTATCAGTTCTTCCTCCAGATGCAGATAGCGTCTTTCTTCATGTCCTTTATATAGTTAATTTGGGTATTTATAATAGACAAAATAACTTATTCGCTCAAAGTATTCTTAAAACAGTATTGCTGTTACTGTATACAGTGTTCTCTTGGTTCTGCTCATTTCTAAGTCATTTCTAAGGTGCTCATAACTTCTGGGCATGGGGAGGAAGGAAATTTCACAGTGAGAAGAAAGGAGGAATCTCCGTGAGAGAAGGCAACCTGCTTCCGAGGCGCCAGGTGGCGCTGTCGGAAGTTGTGCGTTCTTATTTCCAGGCCGCGTAGCCCCGCTTGTCCAAGGCCCGCGCATGCGCACTCGGCGGTGCCCGGCCGGTTAGAATGTTGTCTACCCGGCGCGTTCCATGTGCTGGCGGGTGCTGAAGTTGGTGCATCATGGTTTGAGAGAGAGATGGGGGCCAGGGTGACCCGCGCTTTCCGGAATTTCAACCTGGATAACCGTGCCGAGAGGGAGATCAGCAAGGTGAAGCCGTCTGCTGCCCCCATGCACCCCACCACCAAGACCCTGATCCAGGAGGAACTCAACCGTGAGTAGTCCAGGAGGGCTGTTGCCCCAGGGGGTTCGGGGGGGCCTCGGGCCACCCGCGGGTGGGAAGACGCCTGCCTTGTTGCCGAGCTCAGCTGCAATGTCGGTTGAATGGGATTCAATTCAGTTTAATGCAGTAAATATTTATTAAGCGCCTACTGTGTGCTAGGCATGGGGCTAAGCGCGGGGGATACCAAAAGAGGCAAAAGACAGTTCCTGCCTTAAGGGAGTTTACAATCTAATTGTGGAGGCAGCGTGGAAATAAATTATGTACAAAGCAAACTATATGCAAGATAAATAGGAAATAATCGAAAGAGGAGAATCACTGGAGTTGGGGAAGGTTTCCTGTAGATTGGGGTGAGTCGTCGTAGGATTCTAGATTTACAGCCAGAAGGGCCATAGGGGAATCGTGGGCTATAGTACCCCAACCCCAATCCCTTTTTTTTGAGAGGTAGAAACCGAGGCCTGGGGAGGTTGAAATAACCTGCCCAAGGTCACGCAGGTAATAAAGCGTCAGAGGAGGGATTTGAACCTTGGCACCGGAGCTAGTGCTCTTAAAACTGCACCATGCTGATGAGGCTTCGGTTCACTCGTTATCCGTGAACTTGTTTTGTTTTGTCTTTTTCAAGTTTGGATAGCTATGTTTATTCCTTTGTAATCTGGCGTATTTTTTGTATGCATTTTAGAAAGCATTCCGAGAAGCAGTCCATAAGTGCTAAAAAGCACTTGACACTAAAATTTAAGTTGAGACCCCCCACTCCCACCCTCCACCTCCGGGTCTAGTAAGCGACCTTGAATTTGTTTTATTTCCTGCAGGTGGAAAGGAATAGGGGATTTGGCTTCTGTACTGCGCAAGCTTCGTAGAGGAGGGGAAAGGCCAGATTCTTCTGTGAATTGCAGAAATCTTAAAGGAGGGAAGTTTAAAACACCAAATAAAAAGAGCTGTTCAAACATTTAATGGCCCAGAATGCTTAGGAGGGTGTAGCCGCTATGACATTGAAACTCCGTCCCTTACCCTCACCTTTAATGTTACAAATCCTCCATTGGCAAAATTAGTTGCTCTTCAGACGTGTGGTTTGTCCATTCTCAGTGATTCAAGATGGTGCATGCTGGGAAATGTAGTTCCCAGCCCTGTAGCCTGGGATTTAACACCCATGCTTTTAATTCCCGTTTCATAGATTGATAGCTGGGTCTAAGGAACTTCAGGGGTCATCTTTTCCGGGCCTCTTGTTTTACGGATGAGGAAACTGAGGCCCAGAGGGTTGATCCTGGGTTCCAGGCCAGCACTTTTGTAATTATTTAGGTTTCAAGCAGTCAAGCATTATTAAGAACTCTGTGTACCAGGCACTGTGCTAAGTACTGAGGATAAAAGACAAAAAGTTTCTTTGATGCTTAGATTTTTATATCATAAGTATTCAGAACCTTTAAATGATTCAAATGTGGATAATGTACAAATATGTGAGAAACCAGTCTTAATATAAATTAACCAGTTGTTATATTACATTATGTTTTATATTATCATATGTCATTATATATTATTATATATAATATTATTTGGTACAGTATTTCTGTAGGATTTGAGTATGAAACACTATTTTGAATTTCAGATTTACTTAAAAATTTTTGGTTTTGTTTTATCATAAGGTGGTTTTTTGTTTTTGTTTTTGTTTTTTTGTAGAGAGTAGTAATAAAGACGACTGTATAGTATCCGAGTAGGTATATGACCTAGGTTTATTTTGGTTTTTGTTTTGTAATTGCCTCTCTCTCTCTCTCTCTCTCTCTCTCTCTCTCTCCCTCTCTCTCTCTCTCTCTCTCCCTCCTTTCTCCCTCTCCCTTTAGGCCATCCAGAAATAGAGGAAATAGTTAAAAGAAAAGATGACAAGCTGCTCACATTGTTAAAAGAAGTATATGTTGACTCCAAAGATCCTGTTCCACATGTGCGGGTAACTGGCATTTTCTATTTATTGGCACTTTATTTAACCTTTGAGGGCTGCAGATTGTTACATTTAGTATCAGTCTCTGCCTGTTCCAAATGAACATCAGTGGAAAATGTGGTAAGAAGTAACTGTGATATAGCAAAGGACTTTACAGGTGTGTATATGCCTCTAGAGTTTAGCAGTAGCTCTTTGTTCCACAGAACCTTCAAGAAAAAGTTCTAGGCAAGAAAAATAGCAGTTTGCTTAGGCAGTATAGACATCTTCAGAAATTTAAAGAAGGTTCATAAAAGCATTGGTTAGATATAATTCCCAGAATTCAACTTTGCTTGTGGGATATTTAGTTGTGTGTGTGTGTGGTTTGTTAGGGAGATGCTGACTTCACTTGCATCTGACTTTGATTTGAGTGAGGGAAGAGCTGTACAAAGGCACCAGCCTCACTTTCTCCTCCAGAGCCATCTGGGTCCAGTGGGCAGATATCCATCAGAATTACTAGAGATGGCCCAGGATGCAGTGGGAGACCTTGGCCCTTTTAAGCTAAGGTCTTCTCAGGTTCTCACTTTGAGTGAGGCAAGCCCATTTAGTGAACAGGCCTCTTTAAGAAGTGAGTCAAGGGATGACCACTTTAATAAAAAAAAAAATCAAACTGGGAGGAGAAGACCCTCAGGGTTGCTGGCCAGAAGAGAAAGTTACTATTTATATTCCCTCTGAGCCAGGATGGCCCAAAAAAACAGCCATTAAGTGGTGCATGGACAGGGACCTATTCTTGTCCAATCTATGAGATCCAGAGTGAATTGTGTTTGAGGCTTATTCTTTTCAAGAGAAATCTAGCCAGTAAACCCAGTAACTAGGTAGCTTTTGGCCATCAAAATTTACCTTCCTTTAGGCAGAACATCCTCAGGTAGGGGACAAGACAGGATAAGCTGAGTTGCCCAACTAGAACTGGCCAGCTGGGTCCTTAATGAGGCAGCTTGGACTACTCACAGGATTGTGACAGGGACTGTGACTATCCCTGCCCAAAATTATTTGGAGAGTCACGTGTATTAAGAGTGTATATGCAAACATGTTTGTAAGCATTCATATATGTATGGGCCCATGTGTGGACCCTTTTTTCTTCTGTAGTAATATTCAATTTTTAGCTTTGGTGATGCAGAGAGAACAATAGTATTACCCCTTAACTATTAGCAGTAATTTATAGCATAATTTCTTCTTTTTGATTTTTTTTTTTGGATGGGAGAATAAGTAACCCACTGTAGTGGATAGAGCCAGCCTTGAAACCAGGAAGACCTGGGTTGCAGTTCTACCTTTGACATATACTGGCTATATGATTTCTCTTTTCTAGGTAACTCTCTAAGACTATAACTTCTAGAGAAATTTGGTAGAAGAAGTTTCCTCACCTGAGAGTTCCCTATACCGACAGAATCACAAATCCAATCCTTATACAGTCCCTAGGGAGATAGGCCTAGGACTGCGTTCTCTTCTTACATCTCCTGCTGTGCCTGCTTTTTCTGTAGTTTTTTCTGCCCGTGTCTTGATCTGTTAAGGCAAGGTACTGACTCATCTTTTCTGTATACTCCTCACTATAAATGACTTCATTGCATTTGTATCTCCTTATTGTTTTTTTCAAGGTCCTTTCATAATCATTATGTCTTTCTGTGTGTGTGTGTGTGTGTGTGTGTGTGTGTGTGTGTGTGTGTGTGTGTGTGTGTGGCAGATGGGGTTAAGTGACTTGCCCAGAGTCACACAGCTAGTCAGTGTTAATGTGTCTGAAGTTGGATTTGAACTCAGGTCCTCCTAACTGTAGGGCCAGTGCTCTATCCTCTATGTCACCTAGCTGCCCCATCATTTGTCTTCTGATCCTCAAAACAGCCCTGTGTATGGGGTGGGTGAGTAGATGGGTAAGTAGGTAGAACAAAGGCTGTTATCTCCATTTTGCAGACAGAGGCCTTGAGGGAACAAGTCAGAATGGCTTGGCCAGGGTTATAGAGCTGGCATGTGGCAAGCCTAAGACTTGTCCAAGCATGCTATCTCTGGTCCACTCCTCTTTCTCTTATATTATACTTTCCACTATACTATACAGTGATGGATATAGAGGCATTAAGTAGGAATGGTACACCCAAGGTCATTCAGACATGTTTCCTTATTGATCAGGATGAGGTATGCTCCGGATTTATGGAAAATCCAGGTAATTCAAAGAGATCTTTTTAAGAGAGACAGTGTTGTAGAGAAAGCACATTGGACTAGGGGTTAGAACACGTCAGAGTCCTAATTCTGTCATTAACTACTTATGTGATTTTAGGAAATTTAGTTTGCCTATATGAGAGCCTCAGTTTCTTCATCTGGCAAATGGGAGTAAAAATACCTATATTACCTTCCTCACAAGACTATTGTGTAAATCAAATGAGTGAAGATCAAATGAATAAGGAAAATGTTTTACAAATCATAAAATATTGTGTGTATGTGTGTGTGTGTATGTGTGTGTGTGTGTATATATATATATATATGTTATTTTACTTAGAAATTTAGATGGGTCTGTTAGCTTTCCTTCCCCTGGTGTAGATACAAATCCCTCTTTGCTTTCCCATCCTGTGTGATTTTTTTACCGTGTCCTCCCATTCAATTCTCTATAAAAATATCTCCAAGGTACTGATTAAGAGTTACACCACTGTTCTCATTCTCCCTACATTACCAGCTAGCCTTATTTTCTATTCATCCATGTAGTCACTGATGTCTTTTATGCCAGTTCTCATAAATATGTTACCACTGTAAATGTTGTAGCCTGTTTGTGCCCTTTGGGTCATCCATAATTTTGGTTTTTCTAAGGTTATTGTATTTCAATATTTTGAACCATATATCATCACTCTGAAAATATTTGTATGAAAGAGCTGGATTTTTGTAGTGGTCAGCAGTTTAATACTGTAGAAAATATCTTGTGTGTTTCCAAATATGATCCAGTTCATCTCTTCTAACTACTCAACGCTGGACCCAGCTCACTATCTATAGCACTTGTCCAATGTATATGTTGATTAATGGACTCTCTCTTTGATGGATGGATATTATGTTTATGTAGACATATATGTTCATGTATGTATGTTAATGGACTCAACTCCCTTCTTCCACTCTTCCACATTTCTTAATATCCTCATTTTTTTTCTATTCTCAGAGAAGTTGATCTTCCTTATTCAAGCTAACCCTCTTCCATCTCTTTTGTGACCTTGTCTCATTAATGTTTACCATCCTCCTTACCTTTCTGTCCTGCCCTTCCCCCATGCTTCTTCAATTTCTGTTGGCTTTGAGCTTCTTCAACCTGAAAACTTTTAGGTTTGCCCTAGCCTTGAAAAAATAAAACCAAAATACTTTGCCACACTATAAGGTTATTCCTTTGATCCTGCCTTGTCTTCAAGATATCATTTGATCTTTCTCCTCTTCCCTGCCAGACTTTTAAAGAAAGTAATCTCTGTGTATTACTTCTGATTCTTTATCATCTAGCACCCTTTTCAGTCTGAATTCCTGTCCCACAATTCTTCTGAACCAGTTAAGGACAGAATTGTTTCATTATTACTGAATCTAATAGCCTTTCCATTATTTGACTTCATTATGGCACAGTGAATGGAACTCTCTTTCTTGATGACCACTTTTCCTTTGACTTCTGTGACACCATATTCTCATGGTTCTCCTATTCATCTGACACCCCTTTCATGCCTCCATTGGAGGCTCCTCGGCTTCCTTAAATATGGGCATTCCTAAAGACTCTGACCTAGCCTTTTTTGCTCCTTGAGAATCTCATCCACTCTAATGGCTTCAGTTGTCAACTTTGTGTAGATACCTCCCTGTCCTATATTGCCGACCTCCCTATTTCCATAGCCCCATATTTCCAGCTTCTTGGTTTTTTCAAGTGGAGGCCCCTTTGATAGTAATCTTAATCTACATATGTCTAAAACACAGCTCAACCTCTTTTCCCAAAAGATCTTTTCTACTCCAAATTCCTGTTTCTTTTACTGACCGTAAAGGCAGAGTGGCATACTGGCAAGAAAGCTGATCTTGGAGCCAGGAAGATCTGAATTAGAAATCCCAGCTCTGACAGGTACTAACCATGTGACCCAGGACAATTCACCTCAGTGCCATAGGTACTTCTCTAAGACTTTTTAAGTTACTGAGAAGACACCAACCTGCAATGACAAAGGAAGTTCTTCTCCTGGAGCCCCCTATGCCAGGGAAATCCCCACTCCTGCCTCTGTGTCTATCTCTTACTGATATAAATGTCCATTGGTGTCCTTCATTCATGATTCTTTAATTCTCCTTCCTGATCCCACACAGCCAAAGTTGCCAAGCCCTGCTGTTTATACCTGTGCAGTTCTCCCACTTGTCTCTCTAACCAACTGCAAAAACCTTATTTAAGCCCTCATCTCTCCTTACTTAGACTATTATAATTGCCTCCTAATTTTCTCTCTGATCCATACTATGTAATATACTCTTACCCTTTTATACTATGCTGATCATGTCACTTCTCTACCCAAAATGCTTCAGTGACTTCCCTTGCCTACCAAATAAAGTAGGATCGTAGAAACATTTAGATTTGAAGGGACCTTAAGAAGTCATTTAGTCCATTGGCCTTATTTTAGCCACCTGATGTTACACATATTATAGTGAGTGCAGAGCAAGAGTCTGAAATAACCCAGTCTTTAGATTTAAAAGGTCTTTTTGCTGCAGTGCTTCTGGTCTTGGCATTCAAGGTACTGTACATTCCAGCTCTAATCTACTTGTCCAACTTCATCACATACTGCTCCCCGTCCTGTATTCTGTGTTTCAGTAAACAGGACTCCACTTTGTCTACTGTTCTTATCCTCCTCTTTCTCATTTCTTTGCCTTTTTTCACACTGCTATCCTCCACCCCATTGAAATGGATTAATCTAGTCTATCTCACTTTGTTGAAGTCTCTCTCATCCTTCAAATACTGATTTGGATGGCACTTCTTCCATGAAGCTTTCCTTGGCTTTCCTTGATAAAAC